CTTAGGCACAACGTCTGGAGAACACGACCAGCCTGGAGACAGGCCTCCTCCAGACACCCCAGGCATCACCAAGTGAAGGTCGCCTTTCTACAATTTACGAAGAAAGCGAGGAACACGACATCGAGGCTATGATGATGGAGGAGTGGTACGATGAGCTACGTTCGGACCTTCATCCCACAACGGTTATCGACGACTATCTCTACTGCGTCCCAACAACCATGCTGCCCGACCAATGTGTCTTGGTCTCAGCACCTGTGGATGAGAAAGATGCCGTGGTGTCGGAGATGCTCGGAGACGAGCCCGAATTACAAGAGCCCTGTCTTGTCTCTCTATGCTTGACTACACCTGACGAGGGCTATTCTCTTGATGGTGATGAACATGGTCCCTATGTTGAGCTATGTTTCACGCCAGAAATGTCAAATATAGTATTGGATCAGACCCAGCTTGCACACCTCGAAACAGACATGGTCGCAACGATGAGGGTATATGTAGCATCGGCTGCTAAACGTGCTGTGGTAGCCAAGGAAGCCGACCTACTCACCAAAGCCGATATAGCAGCACACCCTAAAGAGGTCAGTGAAGCCTTGTACACTGAACTCAAGATCTGGCTTGACAACCGATGCTTTGAGATGTATGACCTGTCAAAGGCTTCTAACATCATGACATCCAGATATGTGTACAAGTGGAAGTTTGTGAAAGTAGGCACCGAGTATGTTAAAGCCATCCGTCTTAGACTTGTCATCCCCGGATTCATGGACACGGAGGCTCTCGATGTAGAAACCTATTCAGGAACTGCTCGTAGACAGTCCCAGAGGCTTCCTGGCAAGTGAGGCGGCATGCCGTCCAGAATGGACCTCAGCATCTATGGACATCGACAAAGCGTTCCTCAAAGGACTGACATATGAGGAACTTGCTCATGCCACCGGCGAGGTAACTCGCATGGTTTGCTTCACCCTTCCACCATGAAGTGCCCAGGTGCTTCGTGCACTACCAGGCTTCTCGTCTTACAAGCCGACACTGCCTCAGGTGCCTCAAGCCAGGAACGGGTGCAAAGGACGCCCCAAGAGCGTTCTCCCTCAAGCTTCGTGCGATAACACGAGCTATAGGCCTTGCACCGACACGCTACGATCCTGAGTTTGAATTCAGTCAGGATCTGTCAACGGCAAAACATGTCGACGACATCAACATGACAGGCCTAGAGAAAAACGTAGATGACTATATACAACGTGTCGTATAGGTGCATGGCAAATGCGAGCTTAACAAACATTATCACACGAATTGCGCCGTTCGCTACGCGAAGAATGAACAAGGGGATGTGATCATGGACCAGGACGAGTACATTAAACAACTACGTCCTACCACACATCCTGAACTTACGGGGGCAGCGGCAGACGCCAAAACTACCGCACTTATCACCGACATGTTCGTTGCCCTGCGAGGAGCTCTCGCCTATGCCCTTCTTACTCAAGTCTGGCTTATGGTGTGCGTGGTCTCTCTCCAAAAGATCCAAGAGCCCACTATCTTACAAGTCAGGCGACTGAATGCTGTGACGCGAAAGCTGATCTGCAGCCCGAAACGCATCACCTCCCCTCGGATGATACCGACGAATGAAGTAGACATACACAGTGATTCGGGGTATCGGGAACACCGGGGAGGAGGGCGATGAAACTAGGGGCTACGGCATTCGCGGGGCTAACGTATTACGGCGAGGAAACTCGCCTCAAGGCAAATCCGTCGTTCACCTTTGCGACGGACTATGCAAATCACACCGACTGCAGGCGGAGTCCAGCTATGCTGCTGAGGCATTTGCAGCTGCGCGTAATCTTGATGAGTGTTATCCCACGCAAATCACTCTCCACGAGCTCAAGGTCGGAGCACTTACTCCACGACAACTACGAGATATGCGTGAAGTTGGGGGCCTAGCTATCAAAGTATCCCTTACTATAGACGCTGAGTCTGTATACAAATCGCTATCCAGCAAAGACCTTAAGATGCCGACGGAACGTACGTTGCTGGGACATATCAGCCGGATACGTGAGCTCATGGATGCAGGTCTAGTGCATAACGCACAGTGGTGTGACAGTAGAGATATGACCGCAGATGGGCATGCAAATGGGGGTATCGATCGGGAGCTGCTTTTGGAAGTGATGTCAGGCACTCAGTGATTTCAGTATGACGTGAAGCAGTTTGTTCCCTTTCGAAGTCCCGAGGACAAAAACAAACCTAACTCGAATCAGTTTTAGTCTGTCCTTGTTGCCCCCGCGGCCCAGTTTGCCAGCACGGGCGCCTAATGCAGATGCGCCCTCCTATCTGCTCGGAAACGAGCCATACTTTTCACGCTTGGCAACGAGCCTGTCCAGATTGGTTCAGGCTCTTTGCCTCAATACCCCTTCTGCCTGGAGGGGAATAGCCTGTTTGGCTTACCTCTAGCCGGGCCGATAGCCCTTGGATATCCAAGGGGCTATCTTGTGTGTGCGTGGAAAAGTTTTGCGAGGAAGCTCGCTGGCGAATAATCTCGCCCTTCAGTCTGGTGGTAGACCAGACTGCGCGTACTGTTTGTCTTGCAAGCAGTTGTGCGCGCGGCCTTTCTAGAGCCCAGCGGCTGCGCGGCTTTGCTCTCCGTCTCCTCCCCCCCGACTTTAAGGGTAGTTTTTTTTTGGGGGGGGAGATGTTATAGAGGATCGGGAGAATAGCCTGCGCGCCGCTGCTTTGGCTCAAGGCACGCGCGCCCTATTTGCCCGGGCACTTACTTTAGTGTTCGCTATGTGCTGGAAAGATCACTGCATCGATCTTATCCTATCCTATCCATCCACTCCCCATATCGTATTCCTTCGACATGGAATTGGATGCTATACGACCTGCCAGAGTCATTTCATACTGCCACGATCCGCGCGACAACTTGCCCTCCCAGGGGCCGAAAAAAAGGACCCTCGACACCTCGCGACCCCTCCAAAAAAACCTCAGAGAGGGGAGGCGGAGGGTACCCCTTCCCTGAGGGAAAAGGGGTTGTGGAAGAGGAAAGATACCCTTCTTAGACCACCTGTCGCCCAAAGGGTTGGTGGGATTAGTTCCGCCCCTGCTTCCATCAAGTTCTTCCGCAACCTCCTTCGATGTCCATCCCGATCCGGTCAGCCCGATGCGACTTCCATGTGGGCCGATTCGATCCGATGCGATGCGATCCCGACGCTCTGGCGACCCGATGCGGCCTGATGCCCGCATGGCGTCGTTGTGCATACTTGCGTGGCCGATCGGGTTCGGTCTCGACGCTGTACCGATGCGGCCCGATCCGACGCACGTCCCATCTGATCTGACTTCCCGATTCGGCGCTCTCTGTCATTGCCTCTGGCGCGCAGCATTCCTCATCCTGGGGGCAGCGACTCTGACTACTTCGCACGTCGACTGTCGAGTTGCACCTGTCCCGGGGGCCCTGCGCTTTGGACAATCCCAGGCCAGAGTTGTTTTCGTTGCATGTGCTGCAAGGCCCGTGGCCAGTCGACCTGAGCTTGCTCGCAAGGCGGCGTTTTATCTTGTCTTATCCCTCCGGATGCTCCCCCGCTCAGGACATGGTGGCGGGAAACCCGCGCGCCCGATCCGGCTCGGTCTCGACGTCGTGCCGACGCGGCGCGATCCGACGCACGTCCGATCCGATCTGACGTCCCGATTCGGCGCTCTCTGGCATTGCCACCTTTTTTTGACGAACGGACAACACGCACCCATACCCATAAGGGGGTCGTCGGGAGGAGGACTGGCTATGGGTATGGGTGCGGGTTGTCGGACCCTGGGGAACGTTCCGTTCGAGCGGGGACCCCCATCCGACAACACGCACCCATAGCCGTCTCCGATCCACCTATGGGTATGGGTGTGTGTTGTTGGTTCGTCATTTTTGTCCTCCCTCTGGATGCCCCCCCGGTCAGGACATGGTGGCGGGAGTCCCGCGCGGCCAAGCCTCTGCGGCTGGCAGCTTCGTCAGCAGGGAGCCAGGCGCTTCGTCTCTTCTGCCTGTCCGTCTCCTCGCCCCTCCTCTGCACTTAAGTCGGACCTGTTCCTCTACAGTGGGAATATTCAAGAATAGTCAAAACATAGTCTGAGCACGATTTTTTTTCCAACAGTTTGTTCGACTATGTTGGTGCATGTTTCGAGCATGTTGTATTTTTCGTCCAAGATCCCCCTGTATGGGGACATGCCCGACCTAATCCTAAACAGGGTGTTCGCGGTTCGGTCGGTTCGGTTGCGTCGCAGCCTGTTGCGTCTGGAAGCGATGGTTTGATCGTTCATGGCTGCAAGATCCACGCGGTGTCAGATGCCAGCGAACAGGTCGCCACGAGACGCACCCGCAAGATTTTTGAGATATGATGTGTTAAATCTGTTGTTATACATATATATATATATAGATCGGAGCAGGCCGGGGGAGGGCCCAGATTTGCGGCCTCCGGTTCGCATGGGGGGCCAGGGGGGCTGGGGGGGCTCCAAGAGGGTTCAGAAGGGACCCCAGACGCCCCCAGAGTCTCTCAAGCTGGCCCAAGAGGCGGCCAACGCGCCCCAGGTTGTCTGGATGGTGGCTGAAGAGCGCACTGAGATTGCTTCTGGACGGGTCACGAGCTCTCGAAGACAGCACTAGACTGCTCCTAGACGGCCACAAAGGCATCCAAGACGGTCCAAGCGGCCGCCGAGAAGGCTATCCAAGGGCAAAATCAAGTATGTCCTATGGGAAGACGTATAGTTCTTAGAAATTTGTTTTTCAGTCTTGGAATGCTCAAGCCATGTTCGCCAGAAAGCGGCAGTGTCACGCGGACAAGCTGGCCTAGGTCGGCACGTTGGCCCAAAAGCACGATTTCGTCGCCCTGACGGACACCCACGGGCTGGAAGGAACCACTGTGGCTTGGACATGTCCGCCAGGCTGCCGATCCTGGTTTTCTCCTGGGACTAGTTACCCGCGGAGGTGGCATCGGCATCGTCCTGCGAGAAATTTTCCTCTGACAATTCCAGGCGATTGAGCCGCGATGGATGCACGTGGTCCCTGGCCGGGCGGCTGTATTGCAGTTGCGTGGGCACGCGGGCGCGGTGGACATCCACGTGGTGTATTTCGCCACGGGCACTCCGGGGCTGGTGCAACCGCGGGGCGGGACAATGAAGATGTGAAGGAACAGCGCCGCCAGATGCGACTTGCTGTGGCCGATTCTACGGCCCCGCAAAGTGAAGCATTCTCAATGGTGACGGGCGACTTGCATTGGATGGTCGCGGCCGAGGACATGCTGGTCAAGGCCACCGCCGAGGCATCTGGCCAGGGCGACGCTTCGGAGGAGCAGGATGCCTCGGCAACCCTATGGAGGCCGGGCGGCTTCTACGAACTCCGGCAGCCTGGGGTCACCCACGAACGCGCGCAGGTGTGGAGCCGTCTCGACCGTTTGTACTGGAACGCGTCGGCGGTCGGGCAGCTGGACAGGGTGATGATTTGCGCTGTTCTCGAGTGGATGCCGCACCCATCGCCCCACAGAACCTTCGCAATTGCTCGGAGAACGCCTGCCCGCCGCGAGGCGGATGCCATGCCTATCGGCATGGAGCTGCTGCAGAATCCCCTTTGGCCTCTTCGAGTGGCCGCAGCCCATCATGACGGCAGACCAGATGCATTTCGAGGCCGCCGCTCGCCCGCCAGCCGAGTCCAAGCAGAACCAGGTGGGCGTGGCAGTCTCGTTCGTCCGCACCGCTGAACGAGGCGATGTTGGGGTGATGCAGCGATGCTTGCAGTCTCTGCCGCGCCTTCGTGCAGTCGCGCCGTCGCCCCTAGAGCTCACCGGGTGCAAGGGCGCCGCTTTAGACCCCTATCGTAGCTTGATCCTGGTCCTGGCCCGAGACGCTGCCATAGGTGAGCTCGCTGACCTGCGGGATCATTTGGCCGCGCAAGCGCGCTGGGGCCGCATCCACCGCGCATTGGCGCGCCTCTCGCCGGGTCGTTCGACGAGTCTGGTGGGGGTCGTCGGGCCTGCGGGCGAGGTGCTAAGTGAGCCGAGCGCCACGGCTGCTGCCTTGCGCGCGCGCCAGTGCGGGGCATTTGCAGAGCGGCCCGTGGACGCGGTATTGCTGGAGCAATGGGTGGCAGAAGACTCGCCCCCAGACGCGCCTCCTGGAACTGCGCACGTTGTCGCTTACAACGACGACACGCCGAGCACGCGCTCGAGCACTCGCCGAACTCCGCCCCAGGGCCCGACGGCCTCCCCTTTGCAGCTTGGAGACGTCTGGGGCCTCTATCGGTAGACGTGTCGTTGGCTGCCTTGCAGGATCTATCTGGTGGCGGCCGACGAGCCCGCTGACCTGGAGTGCATCATGGGCGCATCTAATGCCATCAAGCCAACCTCGATGGTCTTCCTGCCGAAAGGGACAGGTTCTGCGACGCCCCATGGGGCGGGCCACCGACCGGCAGACACGAGGCCGCTGAACGTCGCCAACTGCGATAATAGGATCCTGGCGAGCGCTGTTAGGGCATGCGTCGAGGAGCCCCTGGCGTAGGCCATCTCCACGGACCAGCGTGGCTTCGCGCCAGGCCGGTCCACGCTGTCCAACGTGGTGGACGTGGACGAAGCCACGCAACGGGCAGGTCTTGATGGCGACGTCGGGGGGGCCTGACCCTTCGACTTCCAGGCCGCGTTCCGCAGCGTCGCCCGCGCCTTCTCTGCCGCGGGTGCTCTCGGCGGCAGGTCTTCCAGAGTGGCCCCTTCCTTTCCTTCGTCTGCTATGCAGGCGCAATCGGTGCCGACTTGCGGTGGCTGGAGCAGTCCGCGCGGGTTTCGAGGCAAGGACAGGCGTCCGCCAGTGGTGTCTCCGATATCGTTTGTTGTGGCAATGGTCATTCTACTCAGGCGCATGCGATGGCAGTTGCCAGATCTCACCTCGCGGGCCTCTGCTTGCGACGTGGCGTCTGTGGCGCCAGGTACGGGCTCTGCAGCCCCAGTCCGTCGCGAGCTTTTCGCGGAGTTCGGCCGCCTTTCCTGCCTCCGCCTCAATGTGCCCAAGACATACTTGGTTCCCTTGTTCAGGGCGGACCCTGCCACGGTCTTACAGGACCAACTTCAGATGCAACCCGGCCGGGGCGGCATTCGCGTAGCGCCGCGCGCCCGACATTTGGGTTTCGAGCCCGGGCCAGGACGGGGCCACGCCGACATCGCGAAGCCCTTGGCCAAGCTGGAGGAGCGGGCAAGCAGGTAGCGGTCGCCCGGCGGCGGCCTCTATCTCACCACAGTCGCATACTCCGCGCTCGTGGCGTCGGTCGTGAGTTTTTCGTATCAGTTGTATTCGTTGCCGCCCATCTGGAAGACGATCGAGTCGAAGGCGTTCGGTTTGCTCGTCCCTGGCCCCGGGCCGTGGACTTCTCCAGAGGACCTTCGCCAGCTTCACCGGCTCGGCTTCCCGCGCGGCTTCTTGGGCGCGCAGGCGCGGCAGATGGCGGCCCAGCTGCGCGTCGCGCATCTGGGGGCGAGGGCCACGGGAGGGCTCGACGTTAGTCGCAGGGCGGCTCGGCTCCGCGAGTGCCGCCGCGACGCTGACAATATCGTTGTGTCCGCAGCGTGGGCCGACTGGTTCGATAAGGTTCTTCTTCTTCAGCTGGGCAACGTCACCGCCGAGGGAAGAGCTTTGGGAGTGACAGCAGCAATGGTGGAAGCGCGCATCCTGGGAGGCGTTGTCGTGCGACCGCTTGCGCAGGTCCAGGATCGACACGTTCGGCGGCTGTTTCAACGCCTGGCCGCAGCATGGATGCAGGAGGCGCGGCGAGGGGATCTCGGCCCGGCGTCCGGCGCAAGCTGGGCCGCTGGCGGGTGGAACAGCCCCCGCAGGTGCGCGCTGCGCACGGCACGCATTACTCCTCGTGCCCTGAACAATCGCGTTCCGCCTGGCGTTTTGGCAGCGGTCTGGCGAGCTGCGTGGAACGGGCGGCCGACCGTCCGTCGCACGCAGGGCCGACATGGCCTTCCCGGCCGCGTACTTCAGCGTGCCATGGACGCGCCCGACTCCTTGGAGCACTGCGCGGGCTGCCCCTGCATGCGCGCGGTGGCCGCGACGGAGCTCAGGCTGCAGCCGCCGGGGGCGCCAGATGCTCGCCCGGCGAACTTCCTCGGGATGGTCTTTGGCGCGCAGGCCGACCCCGACGCGGCGGCCCTCGCGGCCCTGCGGACAGCTGCGGTCTACAGGGCCCGCTGCCTGCGCCGGCACGGCCGCCTCAGCCGCGGCCCCGCTGCGGCGGAAACCATGAAGCAGGCTCCTCGGGAGGCCGTCCGCGGCTGCCGCCGGGCAGCCCGAGTCCGCGAGGCAGCGCAGCATTGGAATTGAGCCATTGGGGCGCTGAGGCCCACCATGCAGACACACATGTTCCATTATCCCCGTTGCTCCGTTTGCCCCTCTGTCTGGCTCGGCTCCTCTCATCCCATTCTTCCACCTCCGCCAGTTTGAACGCTTCTTCCCGGCATTGTCCGCGGTCTTTTTGCGCAGCTGATTTGTTATTTTTCACGTGTGCCTCGCAAGCTTTCAGTGCATGTTGCAAGGTTTTGTGCGACGCCGCACCTCCGCGGCTCTTTTGGTCGCCCTCCCGCGGTGCGCTTGTTTAGTGCATTGACACATTGTCTGGCCTTTCGTGCTGCGTTTCTCGCTGGCCGTGTAGGGTGATCCGCAGATGCCGCCGCACATTGCATCGCATTCTGCAATCATTGGCTTGGGCGTCGGCCGTTTTAAAGCTGGAACCAAGACCGTCCGCAAACTCTTGCACTGCAGGCAGGCGGTCGATGCCAGCTGGAGCTGTGGGCGCGCCGCTGTTGGCAGGGCGGTACCCTTCCCCTTCCCCACTCCGTCGTCCTCCGCCTCCCTCCTCCTCGCCCCTCTCCCTCCGTTTTCGTGGTGCCGACCTGTTCGTCCGAGCTGGCAGGCACGTTCGGGGTGGTGGTGCCCGTCCGCAGGTCTACTTGTGCCTATTTGCCGCAAGGTGGCGAGATTTGTCCGTCCATGTCGGCGCTGGCGACAAGCGACAGGTTTTCCGAGCTTGCCGGCCGATCCTCATTTTGAGGCCAGTCCTTGATGTAGAGCTCTCCTCTTGTGAGCATGTCCTAGCTCATGTATTTGCACGGGGTTGGAGTTTATGGGGCATGGTCGGGAGGGCGTCCTTCTGACCGTCGGGAGGGCAACTTTTCGACTCCCCACTTGGGTTTGGGCACGTGAGTATGTTAGCTCCCCAGATGCACGCGCAGAAATGTGACTTAAGACCGTTTTTGGTTTGCCAGTGCTTAGGAGAACAGGAGGCGGACAGAAACCGTTTTTTCTTACAAGGTCGCCCGATAACCAGCCCATCGGATAATGATTCTTCTCGGATCCTCCCGCCGGTCGGCAGGAGGCGCCTCCAACAGTGTATACGATTTTCATATTTGGGTGATGCAGGAGATTGGCATTGAAGGAATTTGCCCGTGCGACTTCTGCCAGCAATTGCCCGTGCACTCGAGTTTGGCAGGCTGTCGGAAGGCCATTCCCAGTGAAACGATCGCTCAGGCGCAGCAGTCGGCGGCAGGAGTGCATGAGAACGCGCTTGATACTTCAGAGTCCGTTTGGAGCATCCTCCCCCCGTTTTCTCTTTCCTCCCGATCTCGCCTCCCGGAGGCGCAGCGCCGGCTAGCCTTGCTGGGGTTGGCCGGCTCTGCGCCTCCTCATCCTGTCTCTTCCTCGCTCCTCCCCGAATGCGGCTGCTGCATGCCAAGCGAAGTGTGGGCTTTGCTCTGTCCCATCGCTCCGTGCTGGGGAATTGGCGGTTCTTGCCGTCTGTATGCGCGCGCGGCGCGCGCCGGCTGCCTTGCGACCAGAGTCGGCTGACCCCAGGACGTCAACGCTCTGGGCTCGCTCTATCTGCCGTTTCATGGCTCGCTGGCCCACTGCGCGAAAGGTGCTGGGGCGGGGCGGCAATTTTACTTCAGTATGCTCTCTACGTCTAGTTGACAGTTGGCGAGTGCTGGCATCCAACGGTTTGTATACCACTGTATTGGTCTCCTCGTCTTGCGTCGTTCCCCCTTCTCCTCGTCCTCCTCCTCTCCTCCCCCCCCTCTTCCCCTGTCCAGTGTTTTGCAGGTTTTGGTGTCTTCGCCCCGCGGTCGCCTCCGATCGGCGGTGTTCTGGCCACGTTCGCAGGACAGCCTGTTGAGTAGTGTTGTTGCACGGTCTCCGCGATAGTTCTGCATTAGCATGGTGCGTCGTCTTCCTTGTCTTTAATGCAGGATAGTCCCCTGGAGGGGCAGCGGATTTTGGTGTCTGTTTTAAAACAAAAAATGCTTTTCAGTCCTACCGGCGGCCGCGATGACCCCAGAGGCCCCCAAAATGAGCCCCAGACGGCCCAAGAGGCCCCCGAGAGGGCCCCCAGACGGCCTGATAAGAGCTTCAAGCAGCACGAAAGAGCCCCAACACGGCCCAAGAGAGTACCCATGAACCCTGGGGGGGCCACGGGACCCCCAGGGGGCCCCAAGACGGGCTCAGGTTCCCATGGCGGCCGAAGAGGGACCCGGAACGGCCGAACTGGGCTCCCAGAGGGTCCAAAAAAGGCTTACCAGGTCTCCCTGAAGACGGCCCAGGAGGCCGCTGAGATGCAAAAAACGAGATTTCCCCAAGGGAAAACGTACATTTCTATGATATTCGCTTCTTATGTTCCACAGGCGGCCACGTCGGCCCCAAAGGCTCCCGTCGAAGAGGCCGCCGATTAGGCCCTCCAAGGGCAAAACTCCGACGGGAAAACGTATAGCTCTTGGATATTTGCTTTTCAGTCCTACCAGCGGCCGCGACGGCCCAAGAGTTTACCAAAATGGGCCCCAGATGGCCCCAGAGGCCCCAAAGAGGGTTTCAAGATGGGCTGAAGAGAGCGTCAAGCGGCACAGAAGAGCTACAAGACGGCCCAATAGAGCCCCCAGGAAGCCCGAGGGGGCCACCAGAGGATTCCTACATGGTCGGAGAGGGCTCCAGGAGGGTCCCAAGACTGGCTGAGCTCCCCACGACGAGCCAAGAGGGACCTGGAACGGCCGACATGGGCCCTCAGACGGGCCAACGAAGGTCCCACATGACTCCAAAGGAGGGCCCGT